ACACACACTCAGCCGACAAGCACTCAGACAGGCATGCAAACCAGCAGGCATGCACACACACAGACATGGAAATCACAACAAAATGCGAGAATCTCAGCAAGGCATTCATTCCAGTGGCAATCCCAGAAATCAGCAGTGTCCTCAGTCTGCGTTATTGGTGGGTCATTACACTACCCCCCTCTCAAGAGCGAGGTCCCTTCGAGCGAGTAACTCAATCAGAGTCGGCACAGAATGCATCGTAGGCGTAGATTAGAAAGAGGGATTTAGTAAGACCGTGAGGAGTGAGTTTTGCGGAAAACTTAGCAGTCTGTCCATCAGCGATCTGTCGTTCATAGGCGTTAACCACTCGTGGAGCATTCTTTAGCAGCTCTTTTCAGTCGATCCAGAAAAACTCGTTCAACGGGTGATAGAGGAAGTGAACCTTGTACTGTTTGTTCCTCCCTCGTCCTTCATGGGAAACGATTTGTCTATCTCATGGCCGTCGTCGATAGGACGAGGTATCATAGGATCTCGGAAGGGAAAAGTCTCAATCATCGATGTGTGGAAACAGTTTTGACGCGTGAAAAACCAGATATGTACGCAGATGAGGAGGCACGTTAATCACATACGAAAGACCAAATTCATCCCCAATCACCTTAAGAACCTGCCAAGGGCCATAGTACAATGGAAGAAGCTTTCGTGATACGCCCTCTTTGTCAGAAAACTCAGACATTTTAACCCAGACATAAGTCCCTACTTTAAAGTTCGGTTCTTTGCGCGACTTGTTAGCATGTTTGATCATGGCATGCTGACGCTTGTTCATTGCTGCGATTGCAGCTTTGAGCAGGCGTGCGTACTTGGCATTGTAGCCAGGCATGCCGGACGTCAGACCAGGGGACCGTTCGGGGAACAAATAAGTGAGAGGATTGCGCAACTGCCAACCATATTGAAGTCGGTTTGGTGTCACGCCAGTTGCAGAGTGAATGGAGTTATTGTACAACTCTTTCACTTTGTGTAGCTCCTTGTCCCACGTGTTTTGATCTGGAACAATTAATGTGCGAAGTAGTTGAATGATAGTTTGGTTGATTTCCTCGGCCAGTCCATTGACTTCGGGGTGTCGACTAGAAGTCTTGTTGAGTTTAATGTCATAGATCTGTGAAGTGAAGTCCTTCCAATCTGCACTAATGAACCTGGTGTCCCAATCACTAACAAGAGTTTTCGGGGGTCCATACTGCAGAATGTACTGCTGGTGAAATTCTTCAATTACTAGCTCAGTTGGTGCATGAGGAGGTAGAGGAATCAAATTCGTAAATTTGGAAAAACGATCCACAATGACCATGACTTGTAAACGTCCTCCCTCGCTCACCTTCCCCATGTCCGTGAAATCAATAGAGACCGACTCAGCGGGCCCATCAGGAATTGGGAGGGGTTTCAGCAGGCCATACGACTTATGCCTATGGACCTTGGTTCTTTGACAGACTTGACATTCAACAATAAATTTATGAGCAGATCCCTTCATTCCCGGCCAATCAAATTGTTGCAAAAGACTTTCATAAGGCTTCTCAAAGCCGAAGTGTCCACTCCGACCATGTGCCAAATCCAAGAAATGAGTCCGGAGAGGCGCATGGTTGGGTACACACAAACGATCAAACTTTCCATACCGGCGGAATACAAGACCCTCACACTCGTGAAAATCAGGCTGACTACTAGGGTTTGCCTTGAGCTGCTCAAGGATGGGACTAAGGTCCGGATCCTTGGCAGTGTGTTCGACCAGATCCTCCTTTAGTTTCCTTCGGAGGTCATATGAGTCCACAATTCAAGTCAAAAACTCAGGATGACGCGACAAAGCATCAACAACACGATTATAACAACCTTTCTTATGCTTCAGTTCAAAGTTGTAAACATCAATGTCATGCAGTCAGCGGGTTAGTGTCGAAGAGAGATCAGTTTGCGTTTTAATCCACTGCAAGGTCTGATGATCTGAGTAGACCTTGAAGTGACAACCCAAGAGGTAGTGCTTCCAATATGTGAGTGCCTCGCACAAGGCATAGAGCTCACGCATATACGTGGAGGGAACTACCTTGTGGTTGGGCATGCGTGTGCTGTAATACTCGAGCGGACGCAGGGCATCGCCATCACCTTGTTGCAGCACTGCACCGATCCCATACAGGCGCACGTCCGTAGTGACCATGAACGTGAGGTTGGGATCTGCAATGCGGAGCACAGGATGACTTACCAAAACCTCTTTCAAGGCTTGGAACGCAGTCTCACATTTCTCACACCACGCATAGGCAACATTCTTACTTGTTAGTCTCGAGAGTGGGTGAGCAATGAAAAAACATTTGGGCACAAACTTCCGATAATACGAGGCCAAACCAAGAAAAGAACGCAGTTCACGTAAGTTCGCTGGTTGAGGCCACTTTCGGATGACCTCAACCTTGGTTGCCTCCG